TCAGGAACCAATCTTCATATCTTAGCGAACAGTCGGGAGCCGCATGTCCTTATAGTATAAGAAGGTTTCCAGCCTGCCTTAGAAGTTTGGGGCTTGGCTGCCATCAGAGTTGGCATTTTCAGGAACTTTTTGGTTGACTGAACTAGATTCAGTGAATGGTGCTCACTCGATTTGCCACCCGTATACCAGGAGGTTTCTTTAATTGTTGAGTTTTTCTTTTGAGTAGCCACTAACAAGTAATATCTTTACAGGAGTTTTACGATGACGATTTATTTCGTATAAGTCAGCACCAGTTAACACCCATGGAAGCTATCGCTTAAACGTGGCGTTAAAGGTTAGAGTTTTCTGCCTGGATGTACAGGCAACCTGCAGCGTGGCGAAGGATATTTTCCATGTCGGCTATGCTTCCGCTCTTGATATGATACTGAATGCAGCCCCTGTATCAAACAAGAAGACTATTTCAGAATTTTTACCCCTGATGTCCAAACACACCTCAAATATCAACTACTGAGAAGGGGTTAATGGTTTTTCTGTTACTTATGGGGTAGTTTAGGTTAGATGCACGGTTTTGTGCGTTTTATTGAATGTGTGCCGAAATTCCAGTGATGTTAGCGGAATTGGCCAGCTGGCTGAGATTGTTTGGGTCTAATCTCTAGCAAAGAGCGTTCTGTGTTTGGCGATCAACCTCGTCTACCCTGTGTTAGCTGTGTTTGTGCCAGTCGTTACGTCATCGATGTAACGTTGGCCACTAGTTTACAAATTTTATGTCTTTGCTGGTACCGGTCGCTTCGTGTAGCAGATAGCACAAGAACTGTGGTGGGGACATACCTACCATGTTTTCCAACTGAAACAACCACTGTATACTCTGGTTTTCCGACATGAGAAGGCGATTCATCACATCGCACTTGAGCACTGTATATGGTTGCTCGTTTAAGGGTCTCGCGCCCACTTCTTAATCTCATTGGGTAACTAAGAAAACACGTCCTTATGCGTGGTGGTTTTGGATTTATTGCTATGCTGGTCAAAGTAGTGTTCTAGTTGAGCCAACCATAGATCAGGGCCATGTCAAAACCAGCTCACCAGTTTAGAAACTTCCTTTGCTATCAAAATAACTATTCAGATTCCCCACCGGCGACCCTTATTATTGCAGAGCTCTACTGTTGTGTGTGAACCTTTATTTTCGCAAGCACGGCAGAGGGCAAGTGGAGGAGGGATTTTTAGTCGGACAATCGGAATGGCATCCATCATTCAGTAGACAAGGAAAGACTTGCAAATCATAAATAAGACATAGTTCCTACCTGGCTGCTCGTTCTGTCATTGTTAGCTCCTCAATTATTTACTAAACTTGAGTAGCCATAGCATACTGAGTCGCGAAGGTCCTATAATGTGTCTTTAGTCGTCCTAGTCGATGTTTTCTCCCTAAGTTTCGTTGATTCTCTGTTGTTGAGGCGTAAGAATGACGTGACTCAAGCCCGTATCCAGTGTTAGCTCCAAAATGTATTTCCTCCGGAAATTAAGGACTGTGGAGCACTATGCCGACTTGGGCAAAGTTTTACAATAGAGTCCCAAGGAACGAACGCACAAGTGACCTTGATTCGACCAATCAGAAAAAGCGATGATTTTTGCACAAAATTTTACGTATTTTTACATAAATAAGCATGAGAAAAAATCAAACAGGGTACTTTTTTCTAATATGAGTTAAAAAATGTTCCAGTTATTAATAGGAGTTTCAGTTTCGAAATTAAACCAATTTCTATACATGTATTCATCCAAATGACTGAAAATGACTTCGTTTTGTGATCCGTTGATAGCTCGGATTCTATTTTTCAGTCTTCCCCAGAAACCTTTGATGGAATTATTATGAGTACCGGTGACAGGGTCGATGAAATCATTCGAATGGTTCACTGTATGATGTATATATACACTGGGATATATATATATCCCAATTGCGATAATTGGCTATATCCCGCTCATTCATCTGTGTGAATGGTGGTGCCTGGTAAAACGAGACGCTGAATAATAGGGAGGAGTGTATCAGCACTCCTATCTGGAATCAGCTCCATAAATCCTTTGCGAATCTAGGTGTCATAAATTCCTAAAACCCAAACGTTATTCGCTCTGGAACCCAGTAATTAGACAGAAACAGGATATTCATCAAAGCCAGTTTCAACTTTCCAAACAAAGGTCCTAGAAGACAATTAATTCAGTGTCATTTACCAGTACGCACAATTATTCGCGCTAGAATAATGGTGAGCTTCCTCAACCAATGACTAGCATGCGTTCAGGGTCATTGGAACATTCACAAGGACATTGGAACATTTACAATCCTGGGACTCTATTGTTGAACTTCGCCCCGACTTGGATTACTTTTCTTATCTGAGGAGCTGCTGGTCATGGTGGTTTAGTAAAAGCTTTCTTTCCTGCCTGTTGATTATGTATCCTGTGACCGTAAACTTAGTTATGCAGGGATACGAAGTGATAATGGACTACAATCCAGTAACATTCAGAAAGTATTCCTCAATTTTCTCGGAGACTACCATAGTATCTCCCCAACATCATGCTTTCACCACTACGGCGCATTAGCATGACTCACACAAAGGAGAGAGAAAGCCTAACGCTCATGCCTAATGAAGAATATTTTCAGGTACAAGGAATGCTGTATCGTTTTAAGGGCACACTAACTGGACATGTAGCAACCGCCACACTCTCATCTTTTCAAGAACTTACAGTGCACGGTATTTTTTTCATTGAATTCAGGAAGCCCCAAAGATGAATCAGCCGTTGAACACTGGATATCCGAAGATCATCTAAGTTTACAAACTTTTCGTCTCCAATGAGTTAACGACAAACCAGGGCACGTGAATACTACTCGACTTTGGCCTCGTGCAGTAGAAATAAACAAGTAATTCATCTTCGATTAAATGTAAGGGCCTTCGATGATCCCATAGGTTTCCACGGAGTCTCGGAACTCCATCTTTCTGAAGTATTTCTAGTTTCATTCTCAGTGTCACGAAAATTGGTAACCAAGTACTTTGGAACCTGTTTCCATAAACCAGCTGTGGATTGGCAGTTATGCGAACGGAAGCACTGACGTTTTTGGTGGACCCTGTAGTAACTGGCTTTTCATTTGTTGACCACTAACTGACTTTGCGAATCATAGGCTTGTAAAATAAACCTCTGCATCACTTGATGAGTTTCTGATACTTTTTCTGTAATGTCTCGCTAATTTCTTTTGGATATTCCAAAATGAGAATTATATTGGAGTGACTAACTGTTTCTGTACCTGCAGTAGCAATAACCCCGGGTACGTTAATTTATTTGAGCATTTACATGGATGCAATCAAATATTTTTCAGGAAGTTATTTTGCTTATCAGTTTGAGAGGCCTGGATAGAGATGATATTACTGCTTTGTTCGCTGCATGTCTACTAACGTTTTGAACATCTTAGTCTCCATATGTCGAATTCATAGTCGCCAGACTCTGTGTCAGGTGTTGCTTTTTAAACAAACCACTAAAAAGTTTGTTCGCTCTAGAGATACGTATTGCGTTCAGTCATGATCTGTTAAATCTTCCATTAACATAGGCCTTAACCACCTATGGAAAGCCCCATTCAGGAGGATGGGTTGGATTTAAGCGATATGTCAGTTGATCTAATTGGCGTGAATAAGTGGCAAGTTATTTCCAATACTAGCATAAGCCGAATGGATTAAACATGACTCAAAAAACACGATATTGACATTGCATTGGTTTTCTTACTTCCTGATGTGTGTTTAACATGCGACACACTTCGATTACATCGTAAACTCGGTATCTTGATGAAAATTCAGCCGGATACAATCAATCTTTGAATCTTTCTATCACTGCCATTTTGGTTATGGAAGAGCAGATGCTTCATCACAACAGGCCGCTCAATATTGGTTCCTACATTAATTACGTGGAATTTACTTTCTGTTTTCCCACCGAACTGTCGCCAAAAATATTATGAACCATATCGTTAGCTACTGTTTATCGTATCAAGATGGAAAGTTGTTCATTGTCTGCCATACCATCATGCAAGGTGCCACTCGTAATTTGGAGTTGGGTATCATTCGAAATCGTTTTGTTAGCAACGAAAAATTTAGTTAGGTGGATCATAAATTCCAATCTGTACTTGAAGCAGTAAGTTATTACAATGCATATTCTGAAACATCGAAGATGATGCAGAAAATAGGAAAATTTGAACAAACTGAAGGTCTAAAGAGGAAAAAGGGCTGGCGAAAAACGAAGCCAGGTCTGAAATGACCAGAAGCCTACCAAAAATGAGTCTGGTAGATGTGATTTATACGGTGAATGAAAGGGTGCGATCAGATGTTATTTAAGCGTAAGCATCTAAGCATCTTCAGTTTAATTCAAGCTCTGCAAATGAATGTCGGTGATTTTTGACTCAGTATAAGTTTTCTGTCTGGTATTACTGAGATTATTAGGTAACCGCACCTTGGCAGCAACAAACAAGATAAAGCAGACAGTGTGGAAAGGCAAGGCGTTACCAAGTATTTACTGGGCGTAAAACAAACCTTTTTCAGTATGAGTCTGATGTCAGTGGATGAATTATCCGTAGAGACATTTAGTTACGTTTAAGTAAGGTCAGAATATTGGAAGTATTTCTTCACAAATTCTTGATCTTGTAGTTTCACAGCAATTAGACCCAAAGAAATGAAGGAGCCCTGGCACATACAGTTCGGAAACCTAGAACTGTTAGCTTTTTGTATCCTTCATATGTAAATAACACTAAACATTGTAGTTAGCATTGGACGTGAGTAGAGGCGGTCTCTTAAATGTAATATTTATTGTCCAACAAAGGCGGCCTTTCGGATTTTTCGGAGAGAATATGGATTGTAGCCTTTATATGCTGTTTTAATTGTAATTATTACTGATATTTTTTGGGGCTTTGAGAACCGCTTGTTCAAAAATACTCTCAATCAATAAATTACGTCAGCTACGCTAGCTGTAACCGGGCTGTAATGTCTTTTGGTACTGATCCTCGTCTTGGCTATTCTGGAATGTGTGAAGACCCGTCTGTTTGTCGTGACTATCTGCGAAATGTTTGTAAACGTGGCAAAAAGTGCAAATATAAGCATCCATCCCCTGAAGAATGCGAGAGGCTTCGGTAGGTATTTTAAAAGTTACTGTTCAATAGCATAATAATGCCTTTCACAGCTTTCAAACTTTAATCGTATTTCATATTAGTCTGTTTCCATAAAAACAAAATTGAGTATTTAAAGCTTGGTATAATTTTTGTAAAGGGATCTATTCTTTTCTGCTTTGATAAGTATGTAGTGGTCAGTTGAATGGCGTAACCGTCATAACTGCCGTCTCTGTTAAGTGAGTCTTATGCGAAATAGCTGAAAATCTCGGGCATACGGAAGGTCCCATAGAAAAACAGACTGTATTCCCTATTCAATAAGGCAAAAACGGAAATCAACCTCCTTCCATCGGCTTCCAGTTGCGAAAAAATGTTATAATGAAAGCCAGTATGCAAGAAATATGTTTAGCCAAGTTAGTCATTTAGCTCTCAATTCCCCGATTCATTGCTCACATAGCAGGCTTTAATCTGATGACAATATCCAGTTGCCCAAATTGAAGTGGGTGAAGCGGAACTAGAAACCTAGACACACTTATTAAAAGCTGTACCAGTTAGCTTCGTTTCTAGTTTTAGCGGTAGAATACAGTTGCAGATCTAAAATCAGTTTAGTTCCAACTTGCAACCAGGAGACCTGAGTTTTCACGACTAGCGTAGTTAGTTGAATGCAATTGTAGAGTGGATTAAACTGGGTGATGATGATTATTCTTGTTCAATCTGTTCATTTCGAAGAAAGGAAAACGATGACTTAGTTCAAGTGTGTAAAGTGTTTAGTGAGCGCAAAGGTAGCGTACATTGATCAAAGGTACTAAGAGTGAATTGAGTTCATTATGAAGTAATTAGTATGCGAGATGAATGAAGTGGTGTCATTAAGAGAGATAATACTTTTGATAATTAAGAACAGTTTGGTAGCATCAGTGTGTGTGCAGAAATCCACAAGGATGTAAAATTTTTCGGAATGAAGGGTACGTATTTGACTGTTAGCAAAATTGCAGGAAATAGGAAGGAGGACATGGGTGTAAGAACAGTACTCAGTCTAGGGCAACGTTGATAAATTCTAGTTCTGATTTTTGGAATATTGGACCGCAGTGTGGTCGATCCTATTGTCTTTATGTATGTATAGACCACGGGATTGTCTTCGGTATGTCACACTAAAGTTTTTTCTAGAGCCTAAATTATGCCTTTTGTCTGAAGTATGCTAAGGCAAAGGTTTTTATAACCTTGCTTTCACGAACCTGTCTAATCGTACGTCCTATGTAACATGGTCCACAGAGGTAGTAAATCAGTATATGCTTGAGGATAAGCTTAGATGGAATTCATTTATTTTGGAAGTTGCGTCTGCCTTAATAAACTGTCAACTGACAAATTGTCAGCACGGATGCAAATGGCTCGTTTGGTACTTGCTAACTTACGTTATCTGTGGCGTAGACGTGGTAACCGTCTATTAATCAAAGGAATTGTTTGCTCTATCCTTCTTTATGTTTGAGACATGATGGTTTAAAGTGGAGACTAGCTGTCTTTAACCACAGGTATCTGCGTCTTATTACCCGTGTTAAGTGGTATGATATGGTAGGTAGTATTGACGTGTGGTGTTAGGTAACGAGGGAAAGTCGATAAGTTTGTGAAGTTGCTTTGACTGAGTGCACCGAGCAACTGTAACAATAGGGGTTTGTAACGTCATAGAGTCACCCGACTGATTTACAGATTACACTTTGACATGGTAACCAGGTATGCATGTCACTGTTACCTAGTGAGCTCCTTCAGTTGCAATCAATGTTCCTCCAGGTCTTATCACACGAGAAAGGTTTAGTGCAAGCTGGTTAGACTAATACCAGTTACCATCGGTGTATGCTGCTTACCCTATGTAAATCCTTAGCGGCCAGTAGTTTTCAAAAGAAAAGAAATTGCACAGAAAGCATCTTCAAGTATGCTATGTATTATCAGTCCTAAGGTGTTGTCCCATATACTTTCAAACCTTCGGTACTTCGAAGGTTTTTACCTTTGATAACTGTTTCGCAGTCGTAAATTAAGGTAGTACACACCGTTACTCAGAAAATTTTATTTATAATTATCCGTAAGATAATCTACTAATAACGAACATGCAATATTTTGAAATGATTATGATTGGCATTTGCCATTTAAAAGTGCTTCATTTTCTAGAACAGTATTGCAATGTAACACTAGCTTAGAAGGTCTTGTTAGTTAATTATTGATTGTGTTTATTGGGTCACAGTTTGATCTCACTATAAATTGTGCTATTCTACAGGTCATATATATATATATATATATATATATATATATATTGATTTGCTTGTTACAATCTTTTGATTGGTTGGTGAATAATTATCACTGAGGTTTTTTTTCATTTTACAGTCGTTTCGACAAGACGTTTTGTCATGACTTTCAAAATTCAACTTGTCGCCGTTTGAATTGCAAATTTTTGCATTACACAAAGGAAGAAGAGGAGGTGTTCCGGCGTACTGGTTATCTACCCAATGATGCACAGTGGTCTCATCGCTCAGCCTCAAATAGTTATGATGAAAAAACACCAATCTGCAAGGTATATGTTTGAGAAAACAAAACTGTTGTATATCCCTTGATTTCCAAACTGATTTAACTTTTGAATATGATGTTTAACTGTGTTTCTAGCAGGTATATGGAAGGCAAAAAGGTGTATGTGTTTATCTTGAATAAGCGAAATCAATTTCGAGTGCACCGTGATGGGGAGTCACTTAGCATGGCGGCCACATTACACACTTGACTGATAGAATTCGGTCTGCACTAAACAAAGGACTAGACGCATGATACCAGTTAGTGTCCAGTCGAAACACCAATTTGTGCTCAGAGAGACTTATCTTGTGCCTAAATTTATGAAAAGCTGATTCGAAATGAGACACCCTCCACTCCTTATCGTCATATTTGTTACCACCAAAGCAATCTGGCCATATATATGTATACATATATAACATTAAGGAGTTACCCCTACTAAGTTGTCTAGTTCCTAGTGGTATCTCATTTCTGCGATTCAAGTTTGTTGTGTGGTGGTCATCAGACTAAGCGACAAGCCATCGTTGTACAGTATTAATTGATGTTGGATAGTTTGGTGCATGTGACAGGACAGCTGCAACTAAGTTCCATTCTTATTGACGCCTATCAGCAGGGCGTATCTGCAACATTGAGTGGACTGATTTCCCTTCAGAAAAATAGACTTTTTTGAAATTACATTCTATCACAGTTCCCAAGCTCCATGCTTACATTAAAAGTAGCTTGTTGTCACTTATTACTACAATTCGTATAACTCAGTGGGAATGGATAAATACACTGGGTTGATAAATAGCTGTAAGAATTGGGTGAGACTCAGGCCTAGAGCTTCCTACCAGTCGCCTTCAACCATAAGAAATCTATATGTAAACTATTATGATGCTATGATTAGACCTTCCTGATTCATGTGTGTTTCGGACGGACATTTGTGCTCTGTAGAGTCGCCGAGGAGGTCTGTGATTCTTCTTCATATGATGTTATTGACATTGAATAGGGTACAATTTATCTTTTTTGTTCTGTTTAACTTAAAATATTGTGAATATAATCGAAAAATGACTTTGCAGATACATTTGATATTTAGCTGTATTCGCTGTCATCAGTGTATTAACAGCAGTGCATTTTCATGATGAGTTTCAAATCAAGTTTTGTATCCTCTTTCTGTCATTCTTTTGTTGCGTATTACTTATTATTCCACTATCACCTTTATACATCGTGATCATTAATCAATATATAAATCAGAACGTGATGATTTTTATCATTAAAAGCAAACTTTTTGTACTTTCCGAAGTTTATTCCATTTGCGGTGTAGCGGTTCAGTGATTAACTGTAAATAATGGACAGGCTGTCCGACACAGCATTGTCCTCTCTACATGTGCTTTGTTTTATTGCCCGAATTGTCCGTAAATGTCATTGTTTTTGTTTTTGTTGTAGTGTTCCAGTGTTTTATTACTGTACTAGATGTGGATTATAGTAGGCTGAAACACTGTCTTACCTGTGATTTTATTTATATAAGTCCACTATGTTAGTTGATTGTATTTCTGAAGTGGTTCGAACTGATTCTGCTTTCTGAGTGCGAAATACTTGACCAACGTTTAAATTACCTCTATCAGGTACGTTAGTACTATAAAAGCGTTGGTGTGAATAATGGCCAACCAACCAATCACATCAATCAATAGTATGTGTCGTATTACTTTCTTAATCCCTGTCGTTAGTTTCATCAAGTAACATTTATTCCGTTGATCAGTTACGATGAAGTTATAAGGAGTGTATTCATTGCAAAAGAAAAGAGGCTTCCCGTCTTCTGTCAAACTTGTCGATATGCTGATTTCTTTAGAATTATGTATACAATTAATCCCTGAGTGTTTTTGTTGGTTTAACCATTTTTTTCTTCTTGTCCTCATAATCTGTCCATATAGGATTTCGCCAATGGAGCCTGTAATCGAGGAGCTAATTGTAAATATCGCCATGTCACCACACAACAGACACAAGAAGTAGTAAATCCTACTCTCTATAATCAGTCAAATTTACAAGAAGCTAGCTACGTCAGTGAAAACACACCAGCTGCACATATTGATCCTTCTCTGTTCAGCAATTCAACTCATTTCAGCCAACCGTCTCTGATAAATAATGCAGTCATTGTATCGCCTACAAATTCAGTCTTAAATCCTGTAAGCAATGCATATATTCCTGGTGTTTCTTCACATTCACTTATGGGTCTTATTAGTAATACGTCTACAGGACAACCTACTCTGTATGCTCATTCATCGCTGGTCTCAATTACCAGTGCTCCTCATATTAGTCCTTGTTCTTCTGTCATCACAGTTGCTGCTAGTCCCACACAACATCCGAATGTAATTCATCCTCAGACAGCATTGTCTGCGCCTCATGCAACCTATCACATTGTTCCACACGATACTACTTCACATCACCATCTACTTGCAACAAGTTCAAGTCATTCACAAGCTCCTACACTATTAACCATTCCTCTATCTCAGTTTACTTGTAATGTGAGCAATAATAGTTTAATCCAATCTCAGGCGGCTATAGCTTGTTCTACACAACATCATGCTGTTGTAACTGGTGTGTTACCAGCCCATCCGTCAATATCATCTGCATCTGCAACCTATTATCCATCTTATGGTGTATTTCATATTAATCAACCCCCTGTAGAGAATTGTGATCAACAACAGGTTACAGCGGTTGCGATGGAAAAACAAATTCACGAAACTAGACCTTCAAGATGTCCAACATCAACAGCAACAGAAACAACTAGAATGACACCAGTTTCTGCTACAACGACGAAGACGGCGACAACCTCAGTTACATCGGTGTCTTCGTCAACAACAGCTGTATTGGCTGCAGCAGCAGCTGCTGGTTATATTGCACAACATTTACCTGTTATTGGTTCCAACAGTCTATCTAGTGGAAGTAATGTATCTCAAGAGCATACTAATTATATGAATAGTAAAACTGGTAATCCATCGAAAGGTGTAAGTGTACATGAATCAGCTATAGCAGCTGCAGCAAATCTACCAACAGTGTCGGCTGCCGCTGCAGCCGCCGTAGCAGCAGCTGCTGCATTCGCTTGTTCCACTTCGATGTCACAAAATTCGAAGGTGAGTTTTAAACTAAGTGTCTGTATGGAATTATGGAATTTTCTCATTCTTCTTCCACCTGAAGTTTTGTTTACACTTAGTGTATATCTTTGTTGTGAAGTTCGGCCGTGAGTGAATGGAGTACTGACAAAGTATGTTACACTAAACTAAGACAATCTCTTCGATCTCATACAGAGCCTATGGAGAGCTGTTATCTGATGTGATGATGACAACCAGTGGTTTCCACCCACTGTCCGCACTTTTGTCTAATTTCATCATAGGATGTACTAACTGAATTGATTCTGACTGACTTTAGCGAATTAGAGATTGATTTGTTACCAGGAGACAATCTTCTTGTGACTAGGAATGTGTAAATGACATTGTCTTCCTAGATGAAAACACTGATAAAGTGCAGAGTCCTCCTGAAAACTTTGAGCTGAAATCTTCGAATATTTGGTGTGTGATTCCCTCTTGTCAAATGTCTACGCGCTCACCTTGTAACCAGAAGCTCCTGGGTTCGAACCGCGGTGGGTGCGCATTGCTGAAGGGCCCCAAACTAGGACGAAACAGCTGTCCAGTACCCCCTATTGGCTTTCCAGTGGTTCTCTAACTGATATCATCTCATGATGAAATCCTTCATCCAATCATGTGGTATTTGTCAAATTACATCATCTTGGGCATAGACGTGATATCCGGCTATATTGATCAAATCGCACGAGTACTGCAGCTGTTCGCACCGCCCTCCTTTATTGATATGAGACAAGGCCATTGAAAGAGAAAGATATAAAAAGACTGGCTGTCTTTGACCAAAGCTGCTAGTGTTCTGTCTCCTGAGCTGAGTGTTATGTTATGGTAAGCAGTATTGACGTTGGATGTAGAGTGTTGGGTGGTAAGCGAGGGTAAGTAGTTGATCGATGTGGTTGTGAAAGTGAATCTCCACACACATAACTATTCTTTCTACTTCCCATTTCTGTTTAGTATAGTCTTTTCTTGAATACGTTTTTCTCTCTTTTGTCTTTCTTTATGTGCTACACGGTGTGCAACAACTTGAACTGTTGCACTTCTGTGTTGAAACTCAGTCAAATCTCATTATATATATACATATATATATATGTATGTATGGTGTTTTAGAGTAGTCGCTTTTGCCTAGACCAACGACCTGCTGCTCTAGTTCTGTCCTCATCCTGAGACGGACTTGTAACTAACACTACCATAATTAGTAGTAGTATGATGGCATGTTGCATTTTTTAACTATCTTTGAAATAACTCACTTGATAAGTTTTATCAGGTGATGTTTTGTGATAAAATACGTGAATCTTAGAGAGTTGAGAAGAAGAATGAGGCGTATACTGCTGTGCTGATCTCAAGGCTGAAACAGTTACATATAAAAGACAGTGTTCAGCGAAGAAAATTTTCTTTATCAACGAAATCATCTTCAGAGGCTGTACTGCACAGTCGTATTTATACTTACCAAAGTATATATATATAGTGGTCTATTATTGAGTAATAGAGAGTGATATAATTGATATAATTACTCGGAAGTGGCTTTAGAAGTGAAAGTTAAAAGTTGTAAATTACTTGGTACTCAACGACACAAAGATAGAAATTTGATAGGGTTAAAATTGCTTTTGAGTTAGAATAAAGGTGCTAGTTGAATGTCCAGTTAGCAAGTGTGAAGAGAGTGTGAAAATGTACAAAAGGAACATATGAAAATGATAATAGTGAATTAATTATTAAATAAAAAGCAAACTAAAAGTAAAATAAAGAATGAAAAGAAGAAAAAATCCAATTTTTTTTTACAGGGAAAAGGTTAAGCCGAAGGTAGAATGAGACTGGACAAACTTTTTCTGTATACAGAGTTTAGGGTTGTATTGACGAGTTGCCAGCGCCTCCGCCATACACAAAAGCCGAAACCTGACGCCCTTTGTACCATTTGGCCTCACCTTGCTGATGATCTTGAAAGACAACTCTGGTAAAGCTACGTGGCCTGAGTTAACCAAATGCTCGAGAATTGAGCTAGTAATTGTCTTGCATTGTCCCTTTGCTAACCATGCCGGATAATGTTCAGAGATGCGTTTGGAAAGTGTGCGCTTTTTGTGTGCGGCCAATATAACTAGCTCCACACGAGCAGGTGAATTTATAAAGACACATTGAAGTGGCCCATCCAAAGTGGCAGTTTATCCTTCACACATCCATTGATCATTTGTCGGCTGTAGAAATTGATACGTAGCTCAGCCATAAAGAAGGCTTTCCTCAGTGATCTGCATAAGTGATTCTTCAGGATCTCAGCTGCGGTATCACCTTTAAATTCAACAATCATAAATAGCAGTTTCTTTGACACCGTCTGGGTTCTTTCAGGCCTTTTCCTTAACTTCATGTTTTTCTGGATAAATCCTGGAGGATATCCATTCTCTATGAGAACTTGTCTGAGTCGTCCCAGTTCCCTCTTGATTGTATTACTGGAACATATCCTCCTCATTCTTGAGGATGAGAAGTGGATCAGGTTTCTCTTTCTTCTCAAAGGGACCCAACTATGGAAACTTGTGTACTGACCATTCCATGTTGGTTTCCTGTAGATCGATCTTTGAAGAGAACCATCAGATCTCCGTTTTTGGAAGAACATCCAGAAAATGGATATCCGAGTTCATCTCTGATTTCGACGTAAAATTGGATGGTATGATGGCAGCTGTTGAACTCTTTAGTTATCAATTCGATGCTGGTATTGTCGTCATATATGATGAAAGTATCATCCATGTATCTTTGGTACAAATGGAAACCATCACACTCACATAGACTAGAAACTGGAGGTAATCAAGAATGGGTTAGCCAAGAAACTCATTGATTAAGTTTTTTATAGTTTGGTTTGTAAGGGTTAGTTCTGTTTTTACGAGTTGATCACGGATTGATATCACTTAAAGAACCATTGAAAACCAGCCACAGGGAGCACTGCCAGACAGCTGTTCCATCCTAGTTTGGGAATCATCGCCAGTACGCACCTACTGGGATTCGAACCCAGGACCTTCCGGTTACAAGGCAAGCTAGCTCGTATACCACTCAATCACTGGGACCCGATTCAATGGCCAGCCCATGAATTCTAACTTTTACCAATTCTTGATTTAGCGCGACCCCAACCGGTGTCGTCGGTGGGACATCCATCTTCACACGTGACATCTGGATGGACCTCTCTGGTCATGACTTCTCACTAGAACTCCAGGAAAGTCCGTCCATCCTGTAGCAAGTCACTAGCGAGCATCAGATTAATTTTCTATAGTTTGGTTTGTAAGGGTTAGTTATGTTTTGAAAATTCAAATAGTGTCTTATTAATCTTTACTCATTTCCTCTTTATTACACAAGAAAGACCTTAATCTAAGCTGGTATTGTTATGTCCTAGTGCAGTGTTTTTATCGAACTGAGCAGAAGTTAAAATACAAAAGTCTAGAAGCTACCCTTGGTTTGGAGCTGTTGTTCATTTCTGTTTGCCTCCAAGTAACGATCGCCACAGAAGTCATGTTGTTGTTGTTGTTGTAATGTTGAAAAGCCATTTCTTTCATGAATTATTTTCCTCCACTATCTTCTTAATAAGTATCCTATTTCCTCTTTGAACTTCTTTTCTAATACAGAGTAGACTTCGTTTACTTTGCATGCTTTTCCATCTTTCAGTTTTTTTATTTTATTTGATTTTTTTTCGAATTGTAGTATCATTCTATGCTTCCAAGTAATCAAACAAAGTTCAATGATTTGGATATGGAGTCTAGTTCATCAATTCCTTCGCCTCGTATTATTACCAGCAATAATAATAATAATCATAATAATAATAATAACAGTAATAGTAATAACAACAATAATAATCATTTCAACGGGAATTCTAATCACACCAATAGTAGTAACAACAACATGACCTTGATGAGTAATACAGAGTCATGTTCTTGTCAAAACTCACCACACAAACTAGACATTCATAGTATTCATAATAATAATAATAATAACAATAATAGTAATAATAATGATTATAACACAAATATGAACACAATGACTGCATGTTTTCAAAATCATCCACACTGTTCTTCAGGCAGAGAATCATTTTATTCGCACGATAATAATCCCAATAATGGCGGTAATAATAATAATAATAACAATAACAATAATAATAGTAGTAGTACCACTGGTAACTCTATTAAATCAATGTCTTCAATAGATTGTATATCTAATTCTATGCCTTCCTCATCGGAATACTTGAATCCAGCTGATGAAGAGCAAGCGAAAACAGCAGCTGCTGTCGCTGCCGCAGCATGTATTGGTAAGCGGATGATGATGTTGATGATGATGAATGTGGCGATATTTGTTGTTTATTGATTGACTAATAGTAACCAATCGATAAGTGTTCTTTTTTGTGTACTATATTAGTGAGCTACATTGTGCGTTTGGGTTTTATATAGTGAGATGACTCTTGATTACCCAATCATAATCCGATTAAGTGGGGCCAACGGCACTCAGCATCAAAAATGAGACCCGGATGTTCAACTCCAATGTGAAGCCACTGCTACTGTACGGATCAGAGACTTGCACTGCGCGTCATAAAGAGCATCTCAAACAAACTAAAGACCTTCATTAACAGTTGTCTTCGCTCAATACTCAAGATCAGATATCCGGCCAGAAAAGATTAGCAACAGGGATCTCTGGGAGCGAGCCAACTCAGCAGGAACCGATTGTGAAACAAATAGGCAGGAAGAAATGGAGATGGATTGGCTGGTCATACTCTGACGAAACCATCAAGTGACATCACTAGACAAGCCATCGCTCGAGTGGAACCCGAAAGGGAAGTGGCGAGTTGGTCTTCAGTGCAAGGGTGACTTGGAGGAGGTCATGTGAAGAGGAGATGAAAACGTGTGGGCAGACTTGGAACCAGGTGAAGACTCTAGCAGAGAACCGAACGCAATGGAGACGCACGGCTGAAGCCCTATGTTCCTCTAGGAATTAAAGGAAACAATAATAATAATATAGATCCATTGAAGAGAAAAATACCCAAGACAATGGCTTATTGTTAAATGATGGTTGGACTAATATTGAGAGAGAGATTGAGACCAAAGTGACCTGGACTGTTGTACGTTGTTCTGGTTTTCTGTTTGCAATTTTGAACTCTACCGTTCTCTTATCTGTTATCTGTAGAGAGACTACCCACACTCACCCTCACCGTTATTAATGGAAAAATTAGTGCCTGTAGAGGGGTGTGACAGTACCATATCAGTAGTTCTGAGGACCGATGTCGTTTGTTTACACAAAGTGAAAGTCATCTTTTAATGCGTGTCTATGTCCTTGCAAATAACTGGAGATTAGTTATTGAACTATTTGGTTCCATTGATAAATTTCGATAGAGATAAAGAAAGACCAGATTTGCAGGATAAAATGTGATGTCATCAGTCTATTTCACAGGTTCTCATCAGCTAACTTCACATCACTACCTGAAATTACAATGGTTATCAATAATAACATTTCATACTTCAATGTTTGAAAGGTAATAGAGAAAACATAAGATGAACACATCCGGAATATAAGTATTACAATACTTTTTAGATCAATTTACCTTGCCCTATAAGCTATAAGCAGGGGTTAGTAAGGACACTGCACGACAGGGCCAGGAAGTTATGTTCTCCCAACAAGGTAGACGAATAATTAATTGTTGAAAGATGCCTTAAGGAAAACGGGTATCCAAAAGGATTTATCCTGAAGTACCACAAAGGAAGAGATGAGAAAGCGAAGTATCCAACAGTTGTAAAGAAGAAAGTGTTCATTTACCTCACATATAGTGGAGAAACAGTATCGGAAAAGATTGAAAAGAGGATGAAAGGAGCAATAAAGAGATGGCTCTCTGCAGCTAATCTGGTGATACTGTACTACACTAAATGCTATAGAAGCCAGTCGAAACTGGATAAGTAACCTGCTGATATTACCTCCAATTCCTTTACCTCACTAAGCCAGTAATAGAACTAGTAGAGAGGGAAGGTTGGTCATGAGGCTAGAAACCCCATCCTGTAAAATTCAACACTGCTACAGAAACTTCAGGCCTCTAGCTTGAAGCCCATATGTTCCACCGGGAATGTGAAGGAAGGGCATTTATAAATTTACGTGCACCTGCGGCAGCAAGTACATTGGAAGGACAGAAAGAAGGGCGTCTATGCGGTTTTCAGAGCATATTCCGAGAAACGTATGCTTAAAAAGTAAGCTCAACTGAGCTGAGCTCACTAGTGTGTATGACTAATCAGTGTAATGAAAGTAATGCGGTTAGCGAGGGAGTGAGAGAAACTGACTACACTCTCTCTTTCTATGTGCATAAGTTTGTTCTGAAACGTTTGATTACAATTGCTTCACCAAATCGTAGTGGAATCGCTGTCCTTTTTTATGTTTAATATTTTGAAGGGTTTGGAAATCTCTACAAAATGACTCGTATCCACAGGGTGGGTGTTTGGTAATTGCACTTTGTAAATATCTGCGTCCTATTAAGCATAAATTTCTCGGAATATGCTCTGGAAACCGGTTAGAAGTCCTGCCTTCTTTCTGTCCTTCCAATGTACTTGCTGCCGCAGGTGAGATTTATCTCATGGTCAGAGTGTAGCCTACATTAGATTAGTTTTGTTGGTCGCCGGATAGTCCTGTCTATTTGGCACTACTCAACACATCCAAAATGAAATTTCTATATTCGGTCTGAGTGTTGCTTGGCTAAGAATTCGCATGTCAAACTGTGACAGTAAGTCAATCATGCAACTTTCACAAATGCTGTCTTGCTTTGCTCGAAGTTGCACATTAGCAGTGGTGGTTGGTTTTACTTTTATTAGGCTAAGTTGCTTTGGGTTGTCGATAATGGACTTTATGCTTTCTTTTTTCTGGAGTGTCCTTCTTTCCCTCTTATTCAGCGTTTTTCGGCTTGAATTCCCCTGTTGCATGAGCTGGATGATGTGTTTTCGAGTAGAAACTTTGGTGAATCGAATATGTGTTAGGGAAGAGCATCCCAATCACAGGTCTAAATCATGCCTGCCTTATAGCAGTGTGTATCAATCTTAAAACCCCGTCTACATTGTAAATAACTACTTAATGTGGTATAAGTGACTACTTCCTTTCTTCCCGTAGATCATGTACCTCATCAATTATACCATTCATTATTTCGATGTAGTGAAAATGCATCAAAATCTCAATCATTCAAGGCTAATTAATGAGTTGGCTATACCATTCTGAAATATACCCTTTGAATTTGAAGGAATCTGGTATCATGCTTAAAAATGATAAACTTCAGTATACCATTTTTCATTTGAGCGCCACATATAAATTCACTCTGCACTGAATATAGAGAAGACGGATGTGATGACGGTGTTCAATCAACACCACCATCACCACCAACAACAACAAACATCAGTCACCATCAGTAGGAGAAATCTACAGGGAGTCACCTCTTTCATCACTTACCTAGACGGCGTCGTTTCAGTTACATGTGACACAGATGAGGTTGTCGAAGTTAACCAGGATCGTAAAAGGAGGACACACCTTAATTACTCTGGAATAAGTGTGGAAATCTACTGTACTCAGTATAAGGAGAAAAAAAGAGTCCGAATCTTCAACACTTGTGTCAAGTCAGCCAGTGTTTCCATATGGTTCAGAGGCCTGGCGAACATGCCACAGGAAGCATTTCCAACAGACTGCTGTGGACTTTTATCAACAGTTTCCTTCACTAACCCACCCGATGGTGAAGATCGGATGACGAGAAAGGATAAGCCAACGTCAAGGGAATTTGCTAAGCAATTTGGTAGGTAGGTAGGTTCGTCGAATTTCTGAACATCACCCTGCATGGTGGTTAAGTAAAGGACAAACAAAATCTATTCACACAGCGCTATTCTATCTCACTCACCTTGTGGATACAGAACACAAGATTGACGTTAATCATGCTTTCAGGGTCATTTACCGCATACCTACGAATCTCAATTTTGCCTTAAGAGTTCGACTACTAAATATTGCTGACGCTGGCTGCTGGGATCCATATTACGAAGCCTAATTTGTGCATCCGAAAGAAGTTAGTTCAGACATTGTCCTTACCCGCTTGGCTATCTAGGTTTGAATGAACCCTTAATTTCTGTGGAATTTTCCTATTTTTAGTTGATATTCTATTTACTATTATATCTTTATTATTATTATTTATTATTATAATTTATGCATCTTTAATGAACTATAATTCCATTGATCTTACTTTGCAAATCGATATTATTCAAAAAAGCATCAATATTGTTATTGACTACTATTCTAGAATATTCTGTGTATATTAACATGCGTATATAATTGTAGAGCCGGAAGAGGGAATTATCTATCGAAAAGGATATTCTTTGCTGAATTATTTTGTGTTTCACAAAATATAAAGAAGGAAATGGAAGTTGGATTGGACACACAGTGAATGGACCGTTAAGTAACATCACGCTCCAGACACCCACCCACCCCCGGATGGAAAACGATTAGTTGGCTATAGGTCTGAGGGTAGCGTGAAGAGGAGATCATTTGACCAGGGGTAACAACTTATCAACAGTCTTCTGAAACCAGCTAGAGACGACTTCAGAAAAATGTGTGGAATGCCAGTGTGCTTTTGTGGTCCACTTTTGTCCCACTCGGAACCCAATGGGAATAATAATAGTAATAATAATATAATGATCTTTTCCTTTATACTTTACATCTAAATTCTCTTTGAATTAGGCATAATCGGTTCCATTGCGTGATTCCCCAATTGAAGGTTTGTCACCAATTTCTGTCTTGTTTCAAATAATCTTTTCTTTATAAATATATATATATATATCCAAGGTATTTGTAAACACTTCTGTATTGTATTCAATTTTCACGCGTATTGTAGGCGCTATTTTCTCTCAACCAATGGCTGCTGCAGCAGCAGTTGCAGCTAGTGGTGCAGCAGGTGTTGGCAACTCAGCTCCATCATCAGTTGCTGCAATGCTTGGAAATTTAATTGGTTGTAATGAGAAAGATATTATGCATGCTGTTCAATCGTCATCGACGTTATCATCGGCGTCGGCGTCATCAGCAGCGGCCTCATCTTCGTATGCCGGAGCATCGTTACTATCCAACTCATCTAGACATAATAATAACTGTTCTGTTAGCAATAAATGTGATTCTGATGCTACTACAGTTATCAACCGTTGCCCACAGCAACAGCAACAACAACAACAGATTTCTAAAGTTGATGAGAAAAGTTCAAACGATGATCATCAAAACGAACATGGCGGTAGTGGTGGTGGTGGTGTAGGCGTTAGTAATAATAGTAACAGTAATAATAGTAATTCGATGGATCAAAATAATCTTCAGTCGAATACTGTCAACATTTCTTCATCGTCATCAGATCGTTGTAAGTGTACAAATACCTTATTGGATAATAATAATCCACATTCTCTTCAAGATACAATTACCTCAGATTCAAGCAATTGGTCCAGGTAATGTTTCTCTCTTGGTTATGATGAAAATGTTAATGGATTTTATTTTATTTGAGTTGTGGATGTGATTTTTTGTTGTTGTTGTTGTTGTTGAAATTTCATGCCTTGAATTCAGAGTGCAACACAGGAGACTCCAAACTTGAGGTTTGAAGTTTTAATAGCAGTGGTGTTGTTTTTTTTCTGTTTTTTAACGGAACGGAGTTGCTAACTCCACGCCTGTAACGACAGAAGACAAGAGTCAGGTCAGACAGATCGTTTATTCAGAAAATCAACAGATATTTATAGATTTTTACGTACATCATTGTCAGCGGAGAAGCGACGTTTTCTGATTGGTTGTTTTCTCGCTGAAGGTTATTCTGTCATCGCTCTGTGGTTGTTTCTTAGAAAGTCAGGCCATATATCTGCGAATCGTATTTGCACATGTTAAATCTGCTGTGATTTGTTGTTGACTTCCTCAAGGTTATTGTTTTTTCTCATGACTCTGATTCCGGACGTAACACTGACGCAAATTGTTGCTTACAATTTTGGCTTGTTCTCTGCCAGCTCTCACCACACGCCCAAACCTTCCTTTTCTGAGCTCGCTACTGGAAAGTTGAGATGTAGGAGTGCGTTGGTTGGGGGGTAAAGAAACAAAACAAAAAATAATTACTTATTCATCACTAAGAGAGACGGAGAAAGGTAAAGAGTATCAGTGTAAAACTCAGCTTTACAATCTACTTACATTTTACAAGTACATCTGATTGATTCACAGACCCAACGTGTCACTAAAAGCATTCTCAACAGGCTATGACAGACTTTCCTCTCTCCCACCCGACTGATAGATAGCTGCTACCTTGACGTGGTGATTGCGCTTGCATATCGCAATGACCCAACAAGCTACACTGGCTGGAACTATTGTTCCTGTAGGTCCTACCACGCTAGGAAGGTTGTTACGAGAGAGTTTAGACTAAAAGCAGTTATCGGCATAGTGTAGGAATTTTGTTTTTACACTATGCTGGGGGTCTGTGAGCGAAGTCGTAGTGCTGAAGAACAGGGATGTAACAGCAGTGAGCTGTTCCCCTCAGATGACCAGCATACCAGCTATGCTGTCTCAACACTGTGGAGAGAGGGGGTTAGAAAAGGTTAGCTTGACTAATACGGTATCTAAAGTTCCAGGCTGAAATAATAATGCGTAGACTAAGTGGTGCTCGGGAGAAACAAACACGAGAGAACCAGGCAGGGGGTGTGTTGATCATCTCTTCACCCTTCGACAGATTCTGGAATATAGGCATCCTTACCGGTGTCCAACAATCGTCATATTTCTTGACCTAAAGGCGGTGTTTGATTCTGTCAACCAAGAGGTACTATGGCGACGTTTGACTGTAAGAGAAATGTCAAGAAAATACATTGCATTGATCGAGGCACTCTACTGGAAGTCATGCAGCCAGCCAGGTGAGAGCTTACGGCGAGTTGTCATCTGAAGTGATGACAACCAGCGGTGTTCATCAGAGATGCCAACTCACTAACCCCATTTCTATTCAATTTCATCATACATGTACTAATGGAATTAACCTTAACTGTGCAGACTTCATCGACTCAGGGATTGACTTGTTACCGGGGAAAAATCTCGGTGACTTACAATATAATGATAATAATAATAATTTGCTTTATTCCAGAAACAGTACTAGTGGTACAGTGTGGAATTTTCAGCACATGTCTACAATATTGGCATCTAATTTTACCGACATTTAAAATAAGTAATGAACAAACAAACAAAAAATAAATCTGAAGACACCAAAAGCAAAAAAACAGGATAAATACAAAATAATTATAAATGCGAAAATGTACCAAAGTCTACCATGGTCTAATGCAGTGTTTGTGGTGGTGGTGTGAGTAATCCTGAATAATACAAAAATTTTTAAGGTGGTGACTATGGCGTTCACAACCAATGATTGTCAGTTTAATATTGCTTAAAAGTATAGAAAATAAGAAAATACAACCACAAAACAAATCGTTACATGATGGTTAATGACAGGACAATTTTGTAATACTCATAGTGCTAATAGAGTCGGAACCAGTGGATACACGATAGAAGGATTATAGTAAAGTACAAAAAAGGAAGCCAATGTTAATATTTTGGGTAGCTAAGGATGTTTGAATAAGGAGTTCACTAAAGAATACAAAATAAGAGAGAAATAAAAGAGCCTAAAATTATGTTGTTAATAACAAAGCAAGTCATAAGTTTAACGCTTAACATTGTCTCTATCACTTAGAACACGGGTCAAGTATGGTATCGTTGAGTTCCTGTACTTGGTTGTACGAGCATAGATTGTTTTATACTGATTTCTGGTTTTACTTGATGAGATACAAGGAGAGAGTTGGGAATTGAGGGGGTGTTGGGGGTCGGAGAGTATGGTTTTTGACCATTTTTCGCGTGTATTCAGATGCCTATCAACTAAAGTAGTGACGAGCTGACTGAGATTTACACCACTAGTCCTACTGACTACCTTCAACATCCTTCTCAGGATGGTATAGTCCTTTTTCAGTAGCCGAGTAAAGACTAGCTGGGAGGGGGTTAGAAAAGGTTAGCTTGATTAATATGGTATCTAAAGTTCTCAACTTTCCAGTAGCGAGCTCAGAAAAGGAAGGTTTGGGCGTGTGGTGAGAGCTGGCAGAGAACAAGCCAAAATTGTAAGCAACAGTTTGCGTCAGTGTTACGTCCGGAATCAGAGTCATGAGAAAAAACAATAACCTTGAGGAAGTCAACAACAAATCACAGCAGATTTAACATGTGCAAATACGATTCGCAGATATATGGCCTGACTTTCTAAGAAACAACCACAGAGCGATGACAGAATAACATTCAGCGAGAAAACAACCAATCAGAAAACGTCGCTTCTCCGCTGACAATGATGTACGTAAAAATCTATAAATATCTGTTGATTTTCTGAATAAACGATCTGTCTGACCTGACTCTTGTCTTCTGTCGTTACAGGCGTGGAGTTAGCAACTCCGTTCCGTTAAAAAACAGAAAAAAAACAACACCACTGCTATTAAAACTTCAAACCTCAAGTTTGGAGTCTCCTGTGTTGCACTCTGAATTCAAGGCATGAAATTTCAACAACAACAACAACAACAAAAATCACATCCACAACTCAAATAAAATAAAATCCATTAACATTTTCATCATAACCAAGAGAGAAACATTACCTGGACCAATTGCTTGAATCTGAGGTAATTGTATCTTGAAGAGAATGTGGATTATTATTATCCAATAAGGTATTTGTACACTTACAACGATCTGATGACGATGAAGAAATGTTGACAGTATTCGACTGAAGATTATTTCGATCCGTCGAATTACTATTATTACTGTTACTATTATTACTAACGCCTACACCACCACTACCGCCATGTTCGTTTTGATGATCATCTTTGGAACTTTTCTCATCAACTTTAGAAACCTGTTGTTGTTGTTGCTGTTGCTGTGGGCAACGGTTGATAACTGTAGTAGCATCAGAATCACATTTATTGCTAACAGAACAGTTATTATGTCTAGATGAGTTGGATAATAACGATGCTCCGGCATACGAAGATGAGGCCGCTGCTGATGACGCCGACGCCGATGATAACGTCGATGACGATTGAACAGCATGCATAATATCTTTTTCATTACAACCAATTAAATTTCCAAGCATTGCAGCAACTGATGATGGAGCTGAGTTGCCAACACCTGCCGCACCACTAGCTGCAACTGCTGCTGCAGCAGCCATTGGTTGAGAGAAAATAGCGCCTACAATACGCGTGAAAATTGAATACAATACAGAAGTGTTTACAAATACCTTGAATATATATATATATTTATAAACAATAGATTATTTGAAACAAGACAGAAATTGGTGACTATCCTTCAATTGGGGAATCACGCAATGGAACCGATTATGCCTAATTCAAAGAGAATTTAGATGTAAAGTATAAAGGAAAAGATCATTATATTATTATTACTATTATTATTCCCATTGGGTTCCGAGTGGGACAAAAGTGGACCACAAAAGCACACTGGCATTCCACACATTTTTCTGAAGTCGTCTCTAGCTGGTTTCAGAAGACTGTTGATAAGTTGTTACCCCTGGTCAAATGATCTCCTCTTCACGCTACCCTCAGACCCATAGCCAACTCATCGTATTCCATCCGGGGGATGGGGTCTGGAGCGTGATGTTACTTAACGGTCCATTCAGTGTGTGTCCAATCCAACTTCCATTTCCTTCTTTATATTTATAAAACACAAAATAATTGAGCGAAGAATATCCTTTTCGATAGATAATTCCCTCTTCCGGCTCTACAATTATATATGCATGTTTATATACACAGAATATTCTAGAATAGTAGTCAATAACAATATTGATGCTTTTTTGAATAATATCGATTTGCAAAGTAAGATCAATGGAATTACAGTTCATTAAAGATGCATAAATTATAATAATAATAATAATAATAATAATAATAATAAAGATATAATAGTAAATAGAATATCAACTAAAATTAGGAAAATTCCACAGAAATTAAGGGTTCATTCAAACCTAGATGGCCAAGCGGTAAGGATAATGTCTGAACTAACTTCTTTTAGATACATAAATTAGGCTTGTTAATATGGATCCCAACGGCCAGCCTCAGGAATATTTAGTAGTCAAACTCTTAAGGCAAAATTGAGATTTGTTGGTATGTGGTAAATGACCCTGAAAGCATGATTAATGTCAATCTTGTGTTCTGTATCCACAAGGTGAGTGAGATAGAATAGCGCTATGTGAATAGATTTTCTTTGTCCTTTACTTAACCACCATGCAGGGTGATGTTCGGAAATTCGACGAATAGTTAGTTGGTTGCCTAGTGAATTCCCTTGACGCTTGCCTATCCTTTCTAGTCATCCGATCTTCACCATCATGTGGTTTAGTGAATGAAACTGTTGATAAAAGTCTACAGCAGTCTGTTGGAAATGCTTCCTGTGGCACGTTTGCCAGGCCTCTG